TGCCTGCAGCCAGGGCAGGTACCAGGCCCCTCGAGCACAGAGCGCCTTCACCCTCCACACAGCAGCCCTTCCCTAGCGAGCCCCACAGGCACCAAGGGCCTCAGACCACGTCAGCAGCCACAGCAGGAAATGGAGCTCCTCAAGCTTCCTATCTCACCCCATCTCTGACAGGCGCCTGTTCCGGATACACACGCAGGCTGTACGAGCAGGCCACCTCTAAAATGATAAAACCTGCTGAGCTGCCACCTACCAGGGGAGTATTTAAAAGCATTTGCTTTGATAGATTATCTGCTAACACAGTTCTCTGTCTGTCTCTTCTTGACAGGGCGCACAGCACCGCCCTGGCAGGCGAGGTGAGATGGTCACATCTCATCGACACGGTGCTGCTGGATGACAACACTGGCAGCACGTTCCACCCACTCCTGCCTCTTGGTTTCCCAAGCAGCTGGCACTGCCGAGTGCAAAGCAGCACTCCTGGAGCGCTGTTCCTGCGGCTGGGGAGTACCCAGCTCGGAGCTGGCTGCCACTGGAGGGTCAGAGGACGAGTTGCTGTTGAAAGAGGATGTGGGATCAGGCTTGGGTGGATTCTGCCCCTCTTCCCGGGACTGGTTGAGGCTTCCCAGAAGCGAGGTGTCTTCAGGCTCTGCACTAAGTGTCTCCAGCACCACTTCCTCCTGCACACCAGGGGCTGCCTGCCAAACCTGGCTGGGGAACTCGCGGATCTGCCGTGACAGCACTGCAAGAGAGGCAGAGGCAGCCCTGTCACCCCCTCCCGGGGAGCGGGACACAAGCTCTCGCGGTCCTGTTTTGAGCACAGGACACTGCAGAGTCCGTGGGAAGAGAAGACATTGAACTAGGGCTGCCTCTTCCCCTGGGAGACAAGGAAACAACGCTGCGCAGCCACCAGGTGTGAGCACAGTTTGTGCTCCCAGAGCAAGAGGATCTGAGTGGCTCTGGCACTGCCCAGACAGCAAAGCCAACCACAAAACCAGCCCCAGGCAAGGGGCTGCTGCCAGGAGCTCAGGCCGTCTCTGAAGGAAGCGCTCTGCCCTGCAGGGGGACACTGCACCCGGAGCTGTCCCTCATTCCCCAGGCACTCACCTCGGAGCTCCGGCTGCGGCCCTCTGCTCCCAAAGGAAAAGAGGCTGGGGGAGAGAATAAGGCAGAAGGACAGAACCCGGACCCGGAAAAGGAAAGAGAAGCCATGAGCAAAGCCCTCCTGACCTTAGGGCAGGCACAGGCATCACTGGCTGCCATTAATACTGCTCACCACACTTGCGGTGACAACAGAGACGCCTTCAGAGAAGCTCGGGCTGAAGCCACTCACCATAATGCAGGTGCTTGCTGTGGTAGTTTTGGTTGTGGACTGTCTCACCAGCGCCTGGAGTTTCCGCAGCTGCTCAAGTAACGACCTGCAAGAGATCAGGAAACACAGATTAATGCAGTGGCAGAATAAAGAACTTCCCCTTTTCAGCCAGGGACAGATCAGAGTTGTGAGCACAGCCTTCCACATCCCATCCCCAGCCACGTCCCACAACGACAACTCACATGTTCTGCTTCTGCAGCAGCTGCACCTTCTTCTGGAGCTCGTGGTTCTGAGCTGTGCAGGCTGCCACCCTTCCAGGGCAGATGAACAGCAAAAGGGAGAAACACAGAGAGGTTTTGTTAGCCAATAGAATCATAGAATCATAGAATGCTTAAGATTGGAAGGGACCTCTAGAGATCATCTAGTCCAACCCCCCTGCATACGGAGGGACACCTAGAGCACGTGGCACAGGACTGCATCCAAGCAGGTTTTGAAGATCTCCAGAGAAGGAGACTCCACAACCTCTCTGGGCAGCCTGTTCCAGTGCTCTGTCACCCTCACTGTTAAGAAATTTTTCCTTAAGTTCCTTTGGAATTTTTGGTGTTTCAGTTTCCGACCATTTCCTCTAGTCCTATCAGTGGCCACCACTGAAAAGAGACCATCACCGTCCTCTGCACTCCCTCCCCTTTGCAGGGAATCAGCGACCAACTCTATGGGTGGCTGGGTTAGACACTTTGGGCAGCGCAAAGCCCAAGAAGGACATTGCACACAAGCTGCGGGGCGGGATGAGCCCCGACCTGTCCCTCGGAGAAGCACCACGCCGATCTGTGACGATGCCTGCTCTCAGGAGCATACCTGGCAGTCCTGCAGGCGAGCCATGCCGGTCTCACGGGGAGAACACGGGGATCCCGGCAAGCCAGCACTGTGCTGAAACTGAACGAGCCCTGCGCCACCTCCCGGGAGCAGAGCAGACCATTTTCTGAGCTTTCAGGCTGCAGCTCTTCTCGGGAGGATTAAACTATAGACTTGGCCTCGCTTTCTGCCCAGCGCTACAAGATGCCAGCAGCAGCAGAGCCACGAGCAGGTACCTGTTTTCCAAGCCATCCACGTAGATCTTCTTCCTGCGGTGACTATCCTGGGCTGACTGCTTGTTCTGGATCTTCTGTCGCACCTTCTTCAGGAGCCACTCCTCAGCCTGCAAGAGCCATCGCTGCTGAGCAGACACCCCAGGGGGGTGGCAACTCAGCCCCAGCAGCACCTAGGCATGTCTGAGCACTCACTCCTGAGCAGAAGGGCAGCAACCCAGGTCCTTTTGCTTCTGTCCTCCCCCAAACCACGGAATGAACTAGACTGCCTGGAAGGCGAGACAGTCGAACTCTGGCCTGCTGATTTAACCAGCAGTTTATCAGTCTACCAAGAGCAAGGCACATGCAAACAAGATGAAAAGACACAGCTCACAAGCCACTAGGCAAGCAGCAGGAAAAGTGCTGAAGGCAGCTGCAGTGCAACTGTCTCTGTAAACAGCCTGAGAGCAGCCAGGCTTCTTGCTGCTCTCTACGTCCCTGCAGGTAGCTCAGGGCTACTGCCAAGGGGTATTTCACACTGCTGGAGATGCCCTGAGCAGCAATAAATCTTTCCACACTATTCCAGCCTCTGTTGTGCAGACAGCAACCTGCCACCACAAGACACCACATTACCCCCGCAACAGCTAATGCTGGGGGGGTACTCTGCATCTACTTGGCCATGAAAAAACAGAGACTGCTTTGCACATGGATCCTTCTGGTCCTCGAAGGGATCCAGCTTCCCTGGCCCTGCCAGATGATGCCTGAATTCAGCACACAGAGGTTAATACTCTCAGTCAGGCACTGTCCTGCATTTTAAATCTCTGCCCTAAGGCAGCTGTTCTCAGAGCTATTCACGCACTCTGAGGCAGTTTGGGAATTGCCAGCCGTCACAAGAACTCACTTTTGTCAGCGGCAGACTGGTTGGTAACGAAACCCCCTCTTTCTCTAGGAGCTGCCTCTCCTCCTCCGTCAGGATCAGCTCTGGGAAGTCGAACTAGAAAACAGCCCAAACAGGTCTCCTGAGGATCCAAAGCAAAGAGAGTGCAGCCCAGGGCACAGAAAGGCATGTGGTAGCCCAAGCAGCATCGTGCTCTCCTCAGAGATACCCCCCAGTGACTGTGCAAGCGGAGGAGGGGACAAGATGGGCAAAGGGACACAGTTCTGTGCCTTAGGCAGTCAGTACCTGCATGGCAGCTCCAGAAACATACTGGGGTCCAGCATCCACAGCGACAGCAAAAGGAAAAGCCGAGTCCTCTTCTAGTGTCTCAGCTGAGGTTTCTAAACCTGTCCATGTCTCTAAGGGAAGAGAAGAGAGTCAAGCCCCAGGTCCCAGTGGGGCAGTACAGACATCACGCCAGACAAGTTTAGCACCATGAGATCACGACTGCAGAGAACCACCACGCTGGTTCTCTGCGATCCACACAAGAAAACCCTACACTGGCCTGTTTTCCTTCTAAGCCCAGCGCTGCATGTCTGGAACAGACAGCCCCACTTACCAAGGTCGATGGAAACGTCTCCTTCTGCCACCTCAGACCTCACACTTTCCAGCATGGGCCCATCCTGATGAAGGGAGTAATTGTGATCAAACTGAACAACGTCGGAGCTCCGAGGGCTGCTGGCAAAATCACTGCCAGGGCTATGGGACAAATTGTGGTCCTCAGAAACGCCACTGTCACTGTCAGCAGGTGAGGAACCTGGCAGCGTGCTCGGTTCTTCTACAAAGGGGCTCAGCAGGGAGCTGATGAAGGCATCCACCTCATTGTTCAGAAGCTGCAGTGAAAAAGCTTCCACTAAGCAGGGAGCCAAAACTCCTGGACCACAACCCTCAGCAATCCCTCCAGAACAACTCACCTCAGGCTCTGACAGGCCCCAGTCTTCCAGCAGGTTGTTCTCCTCCCCTGGTATTTCGGTGCAAGGAGCATCATCCTTTAGGAGAAAGTCAAGCAGATCCTCATCTGCCAGGTCAGCCAATTCCTCTGGGCTCGACATCTGAAAAAAACAGCCAAAATGACCGTGGGCACCAGGGAAAACACCAGCAGTTCCCTGGGAGGTCACTCTACCGCTGTGCTGAAGTCTCCCCATGCAGGGAAGAGTGGTCAGCACCCCGCAGCGATGACACTGTCCCAACAAGGTGATTACCACTGCTCATGGCACCCTGCCTGGCTGCCCCTGCCGAGCAAGAACAGGCCATTGGGAGGAGGCTCTGCCCGCAGAACTGCTGGAAAATGAGAGAAAGCGAAGGGCCCCATGACACCGTTAGGTTTTTGGATGTAGCTGACATGTCACAGCTTGGATGGGAGAAAATCAAATGCAAGGAAGGGGTCGGTGTAGCCTGCAGACAGGCGGCTGCTGGCCCAGGGAGCTGCT